GGTCAATATGGAGAAACTCGAGAACTCGTTCAACACACCCCAAAGCGAGACAAGCAATCCGAACGCAAACCAGGCCGTGTCGTTCTTCAACCTGCACCTCCACCTTCATTCACAGCAACCTCAACGGTTAATGGAAATCTTTCGGGGTTCCCCCTTGGCACGCAATCTATGGACTACAACCCTTCCTTCACAGGGACACCTCAGCCATGCCAGCCCCCAACCTCCCACGTGTTCGAACGTATCCAATTCCAGAAAGCGACCGCCAACAACGGCAAGCGCCGTGCCCAGCAACAATATTACAATCTGGTCGTCGAACTGTACGCTGAGGTTGGTAGCTCGGTTCCCGGTGAAACTGAGTGGGTACAAATTGCCCGGCGCCACTCCCACCCCCTGGTCGTCCGCGGACGTTCCCCCGGTCACTACAAGGACGGACGCCGTGGCAGTACTGGCAGCATTGGTCCGGATGGGGCTGGCGGAGACAGCACCTGTGGTGTCATTCCTCATGGGCTGGGCCAAACGGGTCGTTCACACATGCCCATGTACGACACGTCTCATCGAAATGGACTTTCTTACGGCAGATCCGATCATCGGAAAATGAATGTCACAGACCATTCCCCAATCAGCGATAGTCCTCTCATCTCCTCTTCCTCTTCTTCTGGGCTCGAGTACTCAATGATTGATACCATGGACCCCATGGACACAATCAAGTCTGACCTTTATCTCAAATCAGATCCCTATCAGGATAATACCTATACAGGGGTTCCCAGCCACCAACACCGTCAGTCTAGTACTGGTGGATATGACCCCGTTTACTCAACAACTTATAGCCGTTACGATCCTATCCAGAATTCGCATAGTCTATGCACTTAGGCTGTGCCTTTTGTTTTGGCCCTGATTTATTTGAATTATTTTGTTTCTTCTCATGTTTTATCTTTTTATCTTGCTCGATATTATCAAATGGGAAAGGGTTTATGCACTGGTGCAGGACGGCGTGGGTGATTATGAGGCCACTTCTATTCGCTGTTGTGTTTTATTCTATTTTTATCATCTTATTGCTAGTTGGACTTTGTGGCCTTGATTTCTTTCATTGTGTTCTATTCTTTGTCACTTTTGATTCGCTTTCTCCAATTTTTACTTGAGATATTGTCCCATTTCTATTATGTGTGTCTTCCTTTGAAAAAGAAGCATACAAAATGCCATTAAAGACTGTCTTCACAACCAAATGACAGAATTTCCTATCGAATAGAACCAATTTAATTAAGGTCTGGATTACTTGACTAGATCATAGTATCTCGATAGTCATAGTTGAATCGACATTTTTCTTCTCTAAGTGTTGATACAAAGCGCATATCATAATCAAGCCAAATATAGTATGACAACCTCTCAATCGAAAACCAAATCTTCCAGAAACCAAATATTAAACCCCTCCAATCCACACGAAGTCCCCAGTCTAACATAAAAACTCCCCGATTTGCTCTGTTCGATAGCCAGGAACCGTTATTTGCTGCAGTCCTGGTCCTAGTCTTCATCCATTGCAGGGCTACCAGTCCCGTTTTCAATGGCTATGGACTTATGCGGTCTTTGCCTTATTCCTTTTTCCTTTTTCTCATTTTAATTTCCTGTTTTGTTTGACTTGTTTTTTTTTCCTCTCTCAGCTATCCAATCAAACATGAAGCAAGGACCTACGGTAATTTGCTTCCAGGACTCTTTTCGTGTCAGATGACTACATAGACTGATGCTTCCGAAGTAAGCAGCATGGGTTGCCTGGCTGGGGGAATGATTGGGTTGAGTCAAGTAAAAAAGTCCATACAAGATTAAAGGGTTTAGTGTGGCGCTGTTACTAGGGTTTTCTTTTTTGGTTTCCACTTTCTTATTTCGTTTTGCTGGGGGAGTCTCCGCGGTCTTGAAACCAAACGAAGCAAGGTGGATTACTATTTCCGTATTGTGTACTCCGTACAGAGTAGGAGTATGCGATGGAGAGAACGGTAACATGCAGAATGGACCAAGAGATTAGAGCCAATCAGGGAGGTGAGCAGCAGCCTGTTTGTAGAGTTGGGGGGGTGTCTAGGTTTGGGTTATTTTGCTTTGCTAGGCAGCAGAGATTGCCTTATGAAGGTATAAGTGATTTTTGGTTTATCATCTTTTAGTATGAATATCATACTGTTGAATGTATTAGTATTAAATATGTATTAAGTGAAAGAAATCGTTAGATGCAGATCCTGATCGACAGTAGTGCAGGTGATGCTTCGTTACAATGTACATCGATGTACATGTCAGCTCAGCCCTGTTTAGCTATGTAAAATTCAACACACGATATTTCTCAATCTAAGTATATCAGGTGAAACAAAACAGGCTTTGGTGTGACCATCAATTTGATCTTTGGTATGCTTGGTAAAGACTAAAATATATGTGCTGTTGATCCAAACTCTCCAATCAAACCTGCTCATGTGTGTCAAGTTAAATTATTTAAATAAGATCCTCGTATCATCCAAGCCTCCCTGCACCTCGGCATATTCCGATGTTTTAAACACTGTGATCCTTGTCAATAACATCCCCTGTGATGGGCCGGGGTAGTAACATCCGCATGCGGTAAGAGATTTGAGAGATATACGGAGTATGTGGATCAGAAAAAAGGTTTTTATTGTTAGAACCAAACTATTTTTGACTTTAATCTGAAACAATTGGGTTCAAGTCCAGCTTGTTCCAAGTTTCGTTGGTATATACCGTGTTTGCCACAGGAAGAGTATATATATCCCGTCCCGAAGGAAATAAATAAATAATTTTGTATTCTTACTGAGAAAAACGCTCAGATGGTTGAGGTAGTCTAATATCATTGGTTGTTTACATATGTACTCATAACCGGTTGGATAGGTACTTCTGCACGTCGTACAAGGGACGTCAGGCAAAAGGACAATCCTAAGCGCTCTGGGGTTTCTTATTTCTTATTAACATCTTGAATTGACACCAGATTTGGTCTTTGGTCATGCTGGGCATTTTCATATGCTGGTGTGTTGCCACTTTATAGTATGTGTACCCTGATCTACATATGTAGTACGTACTCTTAATTCTAAGTGCTCTGCTAAAAGATCTTATTAACCTAAGGCCCTACTTCATTACTTATCTCATTAGAACGTCATAAATGACATGCTATAGCCTGGCCGCTGTACTTCCTATCGTTACGGTTAGTAGGGTACATTGCTGCCCTGCCGGCTTCTGCTCCTACCTAGATAATCTACAATATACTTACATACGAATATAGAATATGGTACACTTAGTCTTGATTTATTCTAAGGTTTTCAAGGAGTTCGAAATGTCGGATTATCCTTGCGGCCCCTGCCGCTGCAACTGCACCCTCGACAACCCCCTACGTCCCTACCCTTCCTATGGAACTAAGCTAGTATCTAGAGAAGCGTAGATCAAAGTGAGATTAATCGCAAAGGGGGATTTTATAGTGCATCAAAGCCCTTTGCGCATCTCATCTACCAAGCTTCATTTCACCGAGTACTACAGTCTGTAAAGTACTTCTTTGTCTTTCATGTCACCTCTCACTCCCAATTCTCCTTTCTTATTATTCCGTAAAGATAGCACATTGCAGGGCTAGCTTAGAATCTCAGATATCTCCGCCCAAGCTTGGCTAATAGGGTTTAGTAGCATAAAATACTCAATGCACAAATTACTGGCTAGTAAAAACGTGCTAATAAACCCCGGGAAATGCATTTTAAAGCTCAAGCATGAATAACAAGGAGACTCTGTAATATAGCAGCAAGGCACAAGCCTGAAGTAAAGGACCCCGGGTTGTCAGTACGACAAGAATCAACCCCATCCGTAATCAGGCCAATACGTCAAAAAGATAATCTGTGTGCTTAAGACTTTATATTTAGCCCAATTAGCCCTGGTAAGATATCTGTCTTTGTTGCCTAAGAGACATGTACAGTGATATCTGCATGAACATATCCGCGATCTATTACTTTGCTACCTCACTAAACCGAATAACCCTGTCCATGATATGCCTGCGCCAATATAAACCCCCGCCGCTGTCTTGGACGCATTACGAGCTAGGAAGCTAGCTTATATGTATAGTTGGATATGTTCTAACACACCTGGTTATTCCTTCCAGATAGATATTTGTCTCGGCCGAACTGTCTACCTCGAAGCCCTGTGATACTATTAGCCATCCAGGGAGCATGGTCTCTATCTCCGTGTTCCACATTAACGGCCTCCGAGCATGGTGCTAGGTTTGTCTCACCCGGAATAAAAAACACATGACCGTTCTGTAGATCTGTGCGAGGTAATATTGTAAATAAAATAAGTTTTTCGGGCAGCTACAAGTGTGGATGAGATCATGGCATCTATGAATAGAATAAAACTAGCACCAACCTTGGAATCTGTCGAGACTGACATGCCGGACAGTCTATATGGATCAAATCTCCGATTACCTCAATTGATGAGCGTCGATCTTTGGGACGCACAATATATCTTTCAAGGGTCAAAGGGTCCCTCGTGCTACACTATGAGTGATATCATGAAACAAAGTTCAGAAATAATACTTTTAGAGCCGCACTACTATTGTATGCCCATTCGAGGCCTTCTTGCTTCAAGAACCTTATGATATAAGGTGCTTTGGTAAGATTGTTTCACATTATCTTAAAAGAATATCACATCTCTAAAGACGTCCCATCTAGCATCCAATATTATGTAGCATAGGCAATGCCACATCAGGGATCAATTCAAATATTTGAGATGACTAAATGTAGAAGCTGACCTAGACATACATATTCCAAATAACCCTTACGATAAGACCCCATGATCAAAAATACAAAATCAGGACACCCCAACATCTCAAACAAAGAATCAATAGCAAAGCCCAATCCCAACCAGACCAACTGTCCCTCGCATCACTTTCCCAATCGGACAAAATAGAAGGGTCGGAAATTAAATAGCCCTCTAATTGGCCCCTCACTCAAAGAACCAACATGTCACGATCCGGACCAGGCTAAGCAATGATCCACCCTCTCAGCCGCAGCAAATCTTCCGAGCCACAGGAATGCCCAACCAATGCCCCAGACAGGAAAACAAAAAAACGTCCGCGCGAGGTGAGCCTAGGCGGGGAAAGACGGCCGCTGACTGCAGCAGCCCAATACTTCCCTGCGCTGCGAACAGGGCGGTTGGAGCCGGGGTCGTTGCAGCCGCACGGACAGGCGTGGGCGTGAGCGTGGGCAAAGACAGGGTCAGGCAAGAAGGATCAGGCCATTCCCTGTGGTCTTTCCGATGGGGACGTGCACGCGCAGATCAAGATTCTCAGACATAGAACGGGGGGCGTCAGCCACTGGCCATTGACCACTGCTTGTTTGTTTGTTTTTTTATCTTGGCGGGACGCAAAAAGACAAGACAAACAGTGGCAGGGTGGTTCGCTATGACCGCTTTCCAGTGTAGGTAGATACATAGTAAGTGACCTTTCGGCTCCGACGAACCGGGTCCCCTTTTGAATCCCGGAGTCCCGATGCGTTGAGGGGATGGGATAGACGGGTGCGGTATGTAGGTAGGCAGTTGAATGTTTAGACATCGGACACGGGCACGGGCGCATGGAATTGTAGCAATGCAGCAATCGCAATCACAATATTTGCAATTGAGTTTTTGGGGGTTGACTCAACAAGAATATCCAGGGAAAGACTTCCTTCCATACCAGCCCGGCAGTCTGCAACGGACTGACTCTCCCTCCTCGCCCTTTCCTGTCCAGTCGCGTTCAAGCCCATGATTCCGTGAGACTGCACCCATGACTCTCGTAGATAATCACAGCCGACCACAAAGCACACTCCGTAGCCCATCACCATCACCAGCTCATGGATTGATCACATGAGCTCGCAGAGTCTGTTCTCGCATCTTGTCTCCGTCGACTCCTCAATTGCTCAGTTCGCCCGGCTATCGGATTTCTCCCCTTCTTCTCCTCCGACACGGGACACGCGCACCGCCAACTTCCGATCCAGCGCATCCTGCTCTTCTTTCGAGGGTTGCATGCCCAATGCGTTTTCTACCTGGGGTGTTGTCCAGAGTCCGATGCCTGCCCAGGCCATGACGCCGATACCGAACAGGGCCCGGGTTTTGGGGGCGAGGCCGCGGTAGGAGCTGTGAAGCTTGTTAGTTTCTGACTTTCTTTCTTGCCGAGGTGGTCCGGGTGTTGGTGTGTGCGGGGGTTGGTCGGTTTAAGGCTGTGTGACGTACCTCCAGAGAGACATTTGGACTGGGAATGAAAGTATTCTAGTCTTGGAGGGAAGTAATAATGGAGCAATGTGTGACTTGGCTTTCAGTATGTCACTTTGACGGGGGAGAGTCACGTGGAGATATCTACACCTTTGGTCACGGGATTATTTGGTACCTGAGGCTAGCGAACTCTATAACTTCGATTTGTATCAGTGCGACGGGTTCGATCGTGTGTCTTTTTGTCTGCCGCTAAGACCTGTCAGGTACATGGACATCCCCGGGTACTTGTGGATTGCTGGGGGGTTGGTGCAACTGTGGCTGATAAGTGAGGTACCGAGGTACTTTGGACAGAGGCACTGCTACATGCATGTGTACTTGTACTTTTGCGTATATGACAGGTTCGCTGCAAGTAGATGGCTGGATAAAGCGGTCATTAAACACATCTTTGGATGTAGCTATATGTTCCAACCACTTTAAGGTAATGTTTATCAATATCATTAAGTTTCAGTTATAGGGAGTCTATACTAAGAACCATTCCTGGACCAACAGATCCTTTAGAGGGTGTGAAAAAAGCGGTTCATGGCCAATCAAAGAAGCTTTCTGTAGAATAAGATGAGGCTCCAGGGCTAAATGTGTAGATTATGATAGAAAACAAATCCGTCGCGATGCCGGTCAGTTCATGTCCACATTGATTAGTTACTATATTGTCTACATGGTGGCAGAAATAAAAAAATATCAATAAGAGCAAGAGTCGAGAGAAAGGCAATCATAAATTGGAGTGAAAAATAACAGAGAGGGTCTCAAAGCGCAAGCAAATACAGCAGGGAAAATAAAATAGAAGAAAAAAACAAGCATGAAACTAGGGAATCCAAATGAAGCTTGACACGCTTCTTTTATTTCTTGCCGTAGGCCTTGCTGATTTCGGACTCGTAGCGAGCGAGAATCTTCTTGCGCTGGAGTTTTTGCGCAGCGGTCATGAAGCCCTAATGTCTTGTTAGTAAAGTATGTACTCCAGATAGCTTGAGAATCACTTACGTTTTGCGGGGTCCACTCATCGTCGGATAGCACAACACCGTTAATAATCTCAATGCCCCTCAAGCCACCCGCGCGGCCGGTGGCCTGCAGCTGCTGCAAGACAATCTTGTTGAGCTTTTCGTCGTGAACGAGGGACTCGAGGGTGTCACCCTTGACGCCGTTCTCGTGGGCAAGCTTCTTCAGTGTCGCCTCGACGGGGACAATGATTGCAACGGGCTTGTCTTGGTCCTGAGCAGCGTAGACACAGATGTTGCCAACCACAGGAGACGAGCGGTAGACAGACTCGAGCTTCTCAAGAGCGATGTATTCACCGTTCAGGGTCTTGACCAGGTTCTTCTTGCGGTCAATGATATTAAGGTGGCCGTTGCGATCGAACTCGCCGATGTCACCAGTCATGAACCAGCCATCCTCAGTGATCGCAGCCTTGGTCTCCTCCTCATTGTCGTAGTAGCCCGAGGTCACACTGCCACCGCGGATGAAAATCTCACCCTGAGGGGGGGTTGTTCGAGGTCAGGTATCCAGCATCGGGGAAGTCAACAAGCTTGACCTCGATCGAGGCGGGAACCTCACCCAAAGCATCGGGGTTCCAGGCCAAGGGGTCGTTCAGGGCACCCATGGCAGAGGTCTCGGTTAGACCGTAACCGCTAACCATGGGGGCGATAGCCATGGACAAGAACTTCTGGGTGTCCTTGGAGACGGGGCCACCACCGTTCATGACGACACGGAGTCTGCCTCCGGTTGCCTCCTTTAGCTTTTTGAAGACAACGGCGTCCAAAACCGAGGCACCCAGGCTCGAGCCAGGGAAGCCGGTGCTCATGAGGAAACTCTTGGCTGACATGGCACCCCAGAACATACCCTTGACCAGGAAGCTGGCCTTGTTTAGGTTGGCCAAGACACCCTTCTTCACTGACTCCCACACGGCCGGAACACCGACCAGAACGGTAGGCTTGAACTCCTTGATGTCGCCCAGGCAGTTCCGCATAGAGGCATCGGACAATGTTCGGGGGTTTCCATATCCCATGGTACCACCCCAGAACAAGCACAGGTTCTCAAACATGAATTCCAGAATGTGAGATTGAGGAAGGTAGGTCAGGAGGGAGTCCGTGTGGTTGATGCAGGGACCGATGACGGCGTGAACACCAGCAGCTATTGCGATACATTAGCTTAATAGACAGTGGTCCCGAGGGTTCTTTCCAACTTACTAGCAGCGATCACGTTAGCATGGGTCAATGGCACACCCTTCGGTGGGCCTGTTGTGCCCGAGGTGTACATGATACAGCACAAGTCCTCCGGCTTGGGGGGAACAGGCTCCACGGGGTTCTCCTCGCCCTGCTTGCGCAAATCCTCGATGCTCTGCACGTTGATGTGGATAAACTCGCTGTGTAACTGATCAAGAAGCTTCTGGTCGATTTCCGTGTCGGTGTTGTAGATAATGTGCTTGATTGAGGGCACGCTGCGGAGGATGCTGATGAGCGACTTCAGCAAGCCGGGGTCGAGGAAGATGGCAGTGCTGCCGGTTTGAACGATAGAGTGCTTTAGGCCCTCCTCGCCTAGGGTATCGTATGCGGTCACAATGGTCACGGACTGAGAGGCAGCGCCTGTAATAGTCGGTTAGGGTTTGTTCGCGCATCGCGGAGGAAAATAAGGGTAAACGAACCGTGTGACATGGCCAGCCAGTGTGCGCTATCAAAGACAATCAAGTCAGTCATCCTGCCCCCGGATCTCTTTGGAGGCGCAATGTGTCTCTTACCTTGTCGCACCGAAGAGGTGGATTCTGCTGTCCTTCTCGAAGCCCAGCTTGCGGAGACCGCTACCAAGCTCCAGGCAGAGCTTCTCATACTCGAGGAAAGACTTGTAGGTATAACCACTCATTTCGAAATAGGTCCACTTCTTGTCGACCTCCTGCTCAACACCATCCACGATCTTCTTGACCTTCTTGTTCTCCACATGGGTTTTGATTAGCTGGCGACTGCCGACAGCTTTGGAGTTGCCAAAGACGCGAGCGGATCGGCGCATATTCTCGTAGGTGGTAGAGACATCTTCGAGGGTCGTAATAAGGCCGTCCTTGGCCTTGGGGTGTCGACGGGGGATTGTCTCACCGGGTACGCGCTCGTACCCGGGCGCCTCGACCGAGAAGGGGCCCTTCTTGACCATGCGCGGCTGGAGGTGGATGTTTTGCACCGACATATTGACGGTATGGCTTGCTCAAAGGAAAAGCAGAAGGAGCCGGAGTATGGAGGATCAAAGAAAAGGTCCTCTACTCGAAGGGGGGGGGGAGGTTAGCTAGTGCGGGAATAGCACGGAGCTAGGAATGGGAAAAGACACAAGAGCTGTAGGAAGCTATAGCAGGAGCTAGAATGGAGAACTTACCAAGTCAAGGAAGAAATGGGAGTATTATAGTTATGATCTGAGCATTCACCGAGGAAGAAGAGGAGAAAGTTAGTCTTGGAAGGTTGGATATGTGGCTGGTCTTCGGCAAATGACGCAGGAGGTCCAAGGTTTTTCGGGTTGATATTGAGTACTTTGGACATACATATGTTGTACAACTTCGCACGGAGCTCTTCTTCGTTTAATTTTTTTTTAATTAATTTTTCTTCTAGTGTCAGAATTTAATATCTCATTTGAAATTAGATATTTCGCCATAGTATGTTCGTGAAGCTGTTACTATTCACATTTTGAGGTCCTTATTTACCGGTAGATCAGTTCCCGTTTTCCCTTTTCTGTTGGGTTTCCCAACAATTATTTTATAGTCATAGCTTATATCCGGAGAACTATAAACGATCAAAATTAGGATAAATAATAGTATCAATAGTACGGAGTACATCTTAGGGATATTTTATGTTTTATATTCCATATCCAAGTTATATCCCTGGTCCCGTGATCCATCAAAAATAATCATAACCAAACAAAATATTCCCTTCCATAAACCATCCATAAAACATCCATGGATACGGAGTACATAGTATCAACTTTGAACTCATGGACCAACTCATCGACTTACTCGCCAATGGCGAAGAGGTAATCGACGTGGATGAGGGTACGCCACCCCCGCATACGAGATATCCCAAGTACGGTCACTCACTGAACTTACTACAACATATAGAATCATTTCTCCTCTACGCACAAGACATCCAAAGCAACAACCTAGGGATGCTCAATCCCCGTGCACCATCAGTAGAGATCTCTATCAATGGCAATGAATATACAATCCATCAATCACCATCATTACTCTCCTCCCATCGAGCGGGGGGAACTACAGGCGCCGGTAAGTACGGACTCCGGGCCAGCACATAGGAGCTCCCGTGATCTGCACCAGTTCCTTTATGATTTGTCCCCGGAATCCCCAGAGACACAAACCCAAGCACGGACTCCTCCGCAGGTCTTTTACCCGAGTCCGAAATGCCCAGACCAGTCCGAGGGTCGAGGCGTCAAATCCTTTTGTCTGTGCCTCGGCTCTCGGAACGAATGTCTCATTTGACTCGGAGACTCGGACCCTAACACTGTCACATTGTGTGCTTTTCTCCCCAAACACGAGGTCGAATTGTCACCTGCTCTGCTATCCCTTGGCTTTTCCCTTATTCATACCTCGGGATACCTTGGCGACTTCCCGACCAATCCACAAAACACCACCCGCTTTCACGATCACTGCAATCAATAACGATTCATCCCGAAATTAGATATGTACTAACCCTGCAAGCTCAGTTCTATGGAAAATTACCCCCCTATTCGCAGAATGGATAACCAATCCCTCAAACCCGCTCTGGACAAACGCCCTCCTTAGCCAGACTTCAACAGTCGCCGAACTCGGCACCGGGATCTCCGCACTAGTCGCACTCGTACTGGCGCCCTCCGTGCGCCACTACATCGCCACAGACCAGGAATACGTGCGCAAGTTGTTCCGGACGAATCTTGACGCCAATGCGTCCGTCCCTGTCTCTTCTAGCAACAGCAACAGTAAAGCAAAAGGCAAGAGCAAGGGATCCAAATCATCCAAATCAAAGCCAAGCTTGACCACCAAGCCTGTTGATAATATCTCCTTCACAACCCTAGACTGGGAGACTGACCAGGCCGCCTCACTAAAGGAATGTATGGATCCCGACGAGTCTCATGGCCAAGATGGAGAGGAAGAAGGAGAGGAAGATAAAGGCTTCGACCTTCTCCTTTCCTGTGACTGCATCTACAATGAAGCACTCGTGGCGCCGTTTGTGCGCACCTGCGCCGAGATCTGTCGACTCCGGCCGGCGTATGTGGCAGGTTCTGAGGAACATTGCCCGCGCCGCAAGCCGACGGTTTGCATTATCGCGCAGCAGCAGCGGTCGCCCGATGTGTTTGAGACTTGGCTCAGGGAGACGATGCGGGAGTTTCGGGTTTGGAGGTTGAGTGATGATGTGCTTGGGGAGGGACTGAAGAGCGGGTCTGGATATTTGGTACATTTGATATTGGCAAAGGATAAATAGAATACAGCTGTAGATACAACTTAAGTACATATGGGTGGATTTGTTCATTTGTATCTGGGGGATGCATGCTGTTTAGGTACTGTATATAGCTAACTTAAGAGGCTCAAGCTCCCCTTTTACACCAGGTACAAGGTACAGTGAGATGGCCGCAACTACACCTTTAACGAAATACCCCTTAAGGTTATGGTCTGAGAGTAAGAGATATCAGCGTGGTCTGCGGGATGAGAAGATCATTCTTCAGGCTGGAAGCTCTCGTAGTTATCCTGGCGAGATCTTCGGGTGAGGATACGCGTAGTGGGCTGCCGAGACTGCAGAAGACGAAGGCTGCCTCCGATGCCCCTGCTAATAACGCCGGCAAGCTTCATTGGTGGTTTGGAGTATGTTCAGTAGTTTATGGGATCCCAGAGATATCAATCACATCGAAACATTCATCCATATCAGAAGTCCGAAACCTATATTCATATTCATGTCAGCTTGATTCCCCTTCAAAGATGTCTCGAGTTTAGCTTGTAATGTTTTGTTCCTCTAACAATCGTCCCCGGAGTTCAGTACTTTCGCAACCATGTGTACACGTGTGCTACCTGCTCGTTCAGTTGCACGACTAACAGAGATCAGAACGAAGGCAGCATGTCTAAGAGACCAACCATGAAGCGCACAACGTTTGCTGGGGATCTTCTTCAAACGATGTCGGATTTTTAGGCGGATAATTGGTTTGTTTGCGCTTTGTGAGTGTGTACTATATTGCAATGATATCACCGAGATCTCGAAATATTTGCAGTTACAGCAGCCACCCCATCCCACATTGATAGGGAGAAAAGAACGAACGGTGCTTTCGAGTAGGCAAGGCTCTCTTTGCGGTACAATATCCTATTTTCGTACCTCAACCCGCTGGAAATTTCGTGCTAAGTTCACAAGTGTAACAACAACAAAAATTGACTATGCGTTTTCATTTACTTTGCTAAATGTTACACAGTGAGAGGATATTGGCTGCAGTAGACATATATGGATGAACTAGGTATGCTTGGTATGCAATGAGTTATAGAAATATTATATGATGATCACGCGCAACATCAAGCTGCTGTATTCAAACGAAATGGAAGACTCGAGGACCACCCAGGTATAACGAAAGGGTATCTAGAAATGACACGTGCTCTCAGACAGCATTCTAAAACCCAGATACGAGAACAAGAGATATAGGAGTAACATGATGCAGTTGATTATCATATCGAGAGCGCTAATATCCGTAGACGCTCAAGAAATTATGTAGGTGTATATATGTATTGCCGGCGGAAATCGACATTGAAGATAAACATTACTCCGCAAGGACACCACTAAGGCTCCGCATTTTCTTTTTCCGCCGCTGGCGGCGAGAATTCGTACTTGCGCTTCGACGGCACAGACGACTCAGTCGGTGTAGGTGATGGACCCTGGATACCAGACTCTGATGGTGGAAGTGTCGCCAACACCTCTCTTTCTGTTTCAGGTGTGCGGTCGATAATAGACGAGATGGACTGCTTGGTTGATCCGTTGACTACATGCTTTGGTGGTGTTGCCGCAGCAGACTCGATGGGCGTACCCTCTGCGTCGGGCATGAACCGATCTAGAACTTCGGTTTTCACTTGGTAGGAGCCTTCGCGTTCGAGCTCGCCCTCGGAATCCGAGTCCATGTCCTCGTAGTGCCGGTCGCCGTCGTGGTCCATGGCAATAGAGCCCAATGGGCTTCCTTCTGTTGAGGCCCGGTGGCTGTTCATGACTGGCGGGAGCGGAGCGTTCGGGTCGTAGACTACACCGCAGACTTCGAGAGCGCGGGACTGGCTGCCCAGAGTTCGGTCTTTGTGTTTCTTGGTGAGATGGCACATGAAGCCGTGCAGGGTGACGAAGTCGGATTTCCCGCAGCCGTGGATCGGGCAGGTGAGATATACTAGACTTCCGTCAGAGGGTCGCTTCCACAACGCTCGCCCGGATGGGTCGTGGGCTGCTGGGCGGCCGTGGCGTTCGCCCCATGCTTCTACATTTTTGATGGTGTATTTTTGCTTGCGGCGGATGGAGCCCGCGCTGTGTATTGACTCATGGGGAAGCATTGGGTGTTGATGTTGAGATGGTGGGGGAGGCGGGGGAGCTTGATGATGAGGTTGGGCGTGCATATGGGGTGGTGGCATCGAGGGGGGTGGTGCCTGAGATGAAGGTGGAAGAGGTGCTTGACGGGGCTCGGGGGGACTCTGCTGTTTGAAGAAAGCCAATGTTGTTGCTGCACTGGTCTCTGATAATCGGCGAGGTGGTGTGGGCCGTAGAGGCGGCGAGTCACCCGCGGCATTGAGCCCCAGGCCCATGGACTCTCTCTTTAACTTCTTGCGTTGTCTTCGAAGGTCCTGTGAAGCTTATTTTAGAATTCCAATTCCCCAAATGGGTATCAAACTTCGGTCTTACCTCTTCCTCTGCTTCGGCTCGCTCCGTCATTGACCGAAATTCCTCGTCTTCATGCTTACGCATTGCTAAAATGCGACTACGGGTTGCATTCCGGGCCATTTCCTCGTGCTCTAGATGCCGGAGTCGAGCTTCAATATGTTCCAAAGAAGCTGGACTGTGTACAGGTGGTACTCCCGGCGGGGGATGATGTTCATGCATGGGCGGCGCGAAATGACGGAAATGGTGGCTCTGCACCATCTGCTCCGGAGGTGGCATTTGGTGTGGAGGCGGATTCGGATTCATGGCAATGGGATGATAGCGAGGAAGATGGTTGACGAGATGGCCGGGTATACCACTATCGGGGCCAGAGTGATGCACCGGCTGTGCAGTTGTCATTGTTATTTGATGGGGGAGGTGCTAGAGGTTATACAGTTTAAAGCCCTCCACCAAAAGAAGAAGAAGAGTATGAAGAAGTCAAAAAGGGAAAAGAGAAAAAAAAGAAAACAGGATGAGACAATCGAAAGGGACCCATCTCCGATCTATGGGTCGACGGTTTGGAAAGGATTGACATTCAGACCTTGGAGCTAACTATAATCTATAATAAAATATTGGAAAAATAGTGAAAACAGTGAAAAACAGTGGAAAATAAATAAAATAAAAATGTCAAATAATATAATAATAGAAAATAAGAAATGACTCTTTCCACTAGCGTGACCCTTCTGCACCCCCGTTATCTTGAAAACTCCCGTAACGGCGTAAGGGGATCGTCTCAGGGGATATTGTGATTGATCGTAGACATATCTAGTACTATATATATTATTGAATAGAATATTGGATGTATAATAAAGGAATACTAGTAACATCAAATTATACTAAACATACAATGTACAAAAATACAATGTTTTTTTTTAATTTCCCTGATCGATGGAGCCCCAAACCTGAAAAGAGAAGTCAATCCATGGAATCCGCAGGACGCTAGCATGTAATCAAATCGCAATCATCGCCCTAAAGTTCATTTCCTTTGGATCAGAATGGAGACTAATCTACCGGACCAATGATCGGCATCTCCAAATTGAAAAAAAAATAAAAATAAATAGTCACTTGACATCTTCAGGGGGGAGACTCTAAACATGACAAGTCTAAAAATTTCTGACTGCAGTCACCCTATGAGCGTCATTGGTCCGAGCAGATCGACTATAATTCCAAAGTAATATAAGTAATGGGTACAGGTTTCAATAATATTTTCAATAATTTTAGGTCCTTTTCCCCGGAGAAAATAGGAGTAACTTACCTTATTATAGTATATTATCGACGATTTATGTATCTCTTCAAAGTTGACCCTAAAACAAAGTTAAACTTGATAGTCAAAGCCTCGAATCAGAGCCTCTGCGATTGAAGTTTTTCCATCTGCCAGTTAACTAATTCGGGAATGAACTGTCCAATAATAAGCAACAGATCTACCCCCATTACTGCCAAGGGTGTACTCATCCTGGAGATCATTATGTAACACAGGGGGGAGAACTTGTTCCTGAGAAGTTCCATGGTAGCCATAGAAGCGGGAAGAATTACATTGGATCTTGAAATGTCGACACTTCTTGTGTACTCCGTTCCCGGTACCATTCTTGTCTACATTGCTCTCCACATATTATTGTCTGGTGGCATCAATCTATTTGATTTGTTATGTATCTCCTTCTAATTAAACCTACCCCAGTCCTAGTGTCCTGACTACTCCCTATGTATACAATCAAGACCAATAACAAAGACATTATAGCTATGTAATAATATTTTCAAAGCCCGGGGATTAGAAATCAAGGAAAGGTCAATCCACATATTTAGTGTCTCCAAACTGTTGTTGTACATAAGCTAGAGTATGGGTCCTGTATGGATTTTCTGCTCAAGTGACTTCGGTATATTTTCTCTGAGGTATGGTTATGGGTCTGCAGCAAACGCCAGGGCTTAGCTTGTAAAGGGAATCAAATTGCAAAAAGGGAAACAAGAGCCCTAGAACAAGAAAGAAAAAAACACCCTGTCAACAGAGTGGGGAAATGGAAATAATCATACGTACTAGGGGCACGCTAACGCAGATGGTCTCACACAAGAAGTGATCGACGAATCGCCGAGAGGGAAGTTATGTGGGCATTTGAAAATTTTCTACGGAGTAGTTGCACTGAGATTTAATTTAATAGTCATCTTACACTTCAGATGTATACAATATTCAATCTAGTTATACTTACAAATCTAGGATGATAGAAGGTACCATAGTGTATCAGTCATCTCTCCCTTTGTCTATTTCAAATGTCCTGCATCCCCACAAAGCCTCGTATACGGAGTATAATCAATCTTATTAGAAATAATTATTATTTACAGACATCGTCCTTGGAAAAAGACCCACTGTGGCAGCCCAACTGGTGTGTACAATGATGATTTGCTGCTCGACCGCACCGCTGCAGGGAAGCCTGCACGATTGCTTCGCTCTGTCACCACCGGCTCGAGTCCAGATTGGCCTGCTGGCAAGACGTTGCTTTTCTCGTGTTGTTTTAATGTAGGCCAAATCTTGTTTTTCCTTTGTTCCTATCAAAATGCAATATATCAAGGGCAATTGTCCTAAGGTTAAGCATGCATTGTTAGAGTTAAGGGGACACAAGGGACACACAATAGAAGCTTGCAGAAACTTACCCTTTACCTACATCGATGAATATTGTACCTAGCCCTAGCTACTCCGTTATAGCCCCCCTGTCACACCTTCTACAGTCCTAGCTCCTCTCGACCGAGTCACTATCACTAGTTAGTAAGAGTACAAGGTAAACTAGCCTTAATTCTCGGTGGATAATGCAAGGATGAGGAGACTATACTCCGTAGAGACGATTGGTCTAACCAAATGGGCTGCATTTCAAACCTTGTACGATGGTAGCAAAGTGGATGCGCAGACGCCAGAATTAAATTAATAGATTAGATTGAAAGCCATACACTTTCGGGTGACTGGCTCAACGTATGTTCTGGTGGGACTAAGGGTCAAAACCCGTGCGCCAGTTGGGAGCTCCTGGCCTATCATCGTTGTCATCGCTCCAGATATTTGACTTTGCGATGGACATGATGTTGTGAGTCCAGTAATATGCTTGTTATTAAACGCGTTAAAATGCATCTCGGACAATAATAGTAGTCACTGCTACCACTAGCTATGTACATCGTAATCATGGTCAGCTTGGCCGCTATTGCTTTCATTGGTTGTTACATCCCTGGTTATATATCCCTGGTTATACATTCATTACTCCGCAGAAAGTTTTAGGCTTTTTACTGCCTTTTTTCATGCCTTTCTAGCTGTAACACGGAGAAGGGAGAAAGACATCTAAAAAAAGACATCGAAGTGTTGTCTTAAATATAATGTCCCTTGTGTCATATTCACCCAAATGAATCGGATTTATGGTCCTACGTCGTCAAGGACAGAGGCCATATAAGCGGGCGACGTTTGTACTATTATGGTTCCAACACCATATAATCATACCATATGCAGTGTGTGAGGGGAAACGGCGTAGATGCTACAAAGTGAGCAAGCCTATCATATTGCAGTGAGACTCGAGCAGTGTGTTGTTTGCCTCTGTGCTTATAAAGTCTGGATTGGCCGGTATCAAGTACCTACATGTACGTGTGTATGTAGGTTGGAAGCTGATAGGCCGAAAGCAGCTACGTCTGCATCCGCGAGGCAGCAAATGGTCCAACTACGCGTGTCACTGGCAGATAGGTGAAAACTACATATGTACACATGCACGTTGCTTGATAACGTTGATACAACTAGATCCTACAGTTGGGAGTTGGAAGAAAACAATTGTGAAGCGAGAGGAGAATTGTCCGATTTCTATTGTCACATGCCAAGGAAAACCAAAGCCTACCACATCCTTTTTTGTGGCCACCCTGCCGTAATGTCATTAAATACAATTGTAGACAATCCCGACATGGCCGCTTCCAGGCGATAACCCGAACAGTGGCACGAGGGCAGAAGAGAAAGGAATATAGGATCATACATGGGTGTGGTAGTTAAACACCGATACACCGGAAAACGCAAAGGGGTAAAAAGGGCCTTGAAAGTATGTGTACAGGTAAATGGGAGGAAAGGAGATGCAAAAATCAAGGAGTCTCTGAACACAAAGGAAAAAAACGTAAAAGGAAATTGATAGAAAAATACAGGAACCATTTACGGTTCAGGTGTGGCAGTTATAGAGGGAAGAGCATTTACTGCTTGTTCTCACCCTGCTGCTCACCACCCTGCTGCTGCTGCTGCTGTTGCTGCTGCTCGTTGTTGGCCTTGTGCATCTTGTCGAAGAGGGTCAAGCTGGCAGTCTGGAGGTCGTCGACCTTCTCCTTGAGCTCCTCAGCAGTGGTGGTGCTCTCGCCGGACTGGCTCTTGACAACGAACTCACGGAGAGTAGCAATCTTCTCCTTGATGGTCTCGGCCTCAGCCTTGTCAAGACGGTCCTCGAAGTCCTTGAGGGCCTTCTCGGTATCGTTCAGGACGCTGTCGGCGCGGTTGGCGGCCTCAATGGCGGACTTGCGCTCCTTATCAGTCTCAGCGTACTTCTCGGACTCCTCGACCATGGACTGGATCTCGGCATCGGAAAGACCGGAACCGGAGGCAATGGTGATGGACTGGTCCTTGTTGGTAGACTTGTCCTTGGCGTTGACGTGGACGATGGAGTCAGCGTCAATGTCGAAGGTGACCTCGATCTGGGGGACACCGCGGTGAGCGGGGGGATGCCAACAAGCTGGAAGTTGCCCAGCATCTTGTTGTCACGGACGAGCTCACGCTCACCCTGGTAGACCTTGATCTCGACAGCGGTCTGCATGTCAGCAGCGGTGGAGAAGGTCTGAGACTTCTTGGTGGGGATGGTGGTGTTGCGGTTGATCAGACGGGTGAAGACACCGCCGAGGGTCTCGATACCGAGGGAAAGAGGAGTGACATCGAGCAGGAGGACATCAGTAACCTCACCAGCCAGGACGGCACCCTGAATAGCGGCACCGATGGCAACAGCCTCGTCAGGGTTGACGGACTTGGAGGGCTCACGGCCGAAGATGGACTTGACGGACTCAGTGACCTTGGGCATACGGGTCATACCACCGACCAGGATAATATCCTGAATGTCGCCAGACTGGAGGTTGGCATCCTTCAGGGCCTTGCGGACGGGCTCAGTGGTGCGGCCGATAAGGGGTTCGACCAGAGCCTCGAGCTGAGAACGGGTCATCTTTTGGGTGATGTGCAAGGCACCGCTGGCGCCGGCAGTGATGAAGGGAAGACTGTGTGAGATAATGATTAGATATTGCCTTTTTAATCTGTTCCGGAATTCGCAATGCTTACCTGATCTCAGTCTGGAGGGAAGAGGACAGCTCAATCTTGGCCTTCTCGGCGGCCTCACGGATACGCTGGATGGCCATACGGTCACCGGTAAGGTCGACACCGGTCTCCTTCTTGAACTCGGCGACAATGTTGCGGACGAGGTGAATATCGAAATCCTCACCACCAAGGTGGGTGTCACCGTTGGTGGACTTGACCTCGAAGACACCCTTCTGGATCTCAAGGACGGAGATATCGAAGGTACCACCACCAAGATCGTAGACAGCGACGACACGGTCAGCCTCCTTCTCCATACCGTAGGCAAGAGCAGCAGCGGTAGGCTCGTTGACGACACGGAGAACGTTCAGGCCGGCAATCTGACCAGCATCCTTGGTAGCCTGACGCTGAGAGTCGTTGAAGTATGCGGGCACAGTAACAACGGCGTTCTTAACGGGCTTGCCGAGGTAGGCCTCGGCGGTCTCCTTCATCTTGTTGAGGACAAAGCCACCAACCTGGGAAGGAGAGTACTTCTGGCCACGGGCCTCAACCCAGGCGTCACCGTTGGTGTGCTGGACGATCTTGTAGGGAACCTCCTTAATGTCACGCTGAACCTCAATATCGGTGTACTTGCGACCAATCAGACGCTTAGTAGCGAACAGAGTGTTCTCGGGGTTGACAACCGCCTGACGCTTAGCGGCAATACCGACCAAGCGCTCGCCATCCTGGGCGAAACCAACAACGGAGGGAGTAGTGCGAGCACCTGTTTACAAATTGAGTTAGTTTTCAATTCCATTTGAGCCCATCAGACCGTGGGTGAAAGTCTCCTGCATTCCAGCTCCAAAGCTCTGACCACTTGTCCGCAGGAGTTGAAATTTCTTCTCACGTACCTTCGGCGTTCTCAATGATCTTAGCGGCCTTGCCCTCCATAACAGCGACGGCGGAGTTAGTGGTACCTATAATCAACAATGTTAGAATACTGCCGTCATTAAAAGTTGATTTTTATCTCGCGCCAGCACTTACCGAGATCAATACCGATGACCTGGCCCTTCACCTTCTCCTCACCACCCTCTGTGGAGTTCCATCTCCGGAATGAGGCAGGGAGTCTGGAGGCAGGAGTGCGAGCAAAAGAAGCGCGCGGGAGCTGTGAGAGACTTTGAGTCAGTGACCTGTGACGCGTTGGATTTTTCGGGGGAAAGGGAAAGCTTACTGCGCGAGTAATTGTGCGAGGAAGCATTGTGATAAATTAATTAATAAAAAGAGAAAAAGAGAAACTCCAACGACTCAATCGTGAAGTAATAAAGGACAGGAGGGATTGAAGAGATGGAGATGGAGATGGAGATGGAGAGATGGAATCGGAAAGAAGGGGAAAAGGAAATAGAAATTGCACGGAGAGCTTCGGCCCGTCGAAGTTGGTAGAATCACGGGATCTGACCAATCAGGAAGGGAGTCGCCGTCTATGGCCTCCTAGGTACCCGAGCTCACCGCCTTGTGCCGTATACGCCGGTATACAATGGGATTTGGGATACTGTGATAATGGGATATACTGGGATATATGGAGGGTATAGACTATGGAGCATATAAGAAGCATGTATACCTCATACAGTTCATTCAGTAATCCGCTTGATTATTCCTTATAACCCATCTCAAAAGGGCAGTTCAATGGCATATCATTCCGCTGTGGCAAAGACTGAACAACTCCGAACTACTCCCGAGGCCCATATATACGGTGTGGTGTTGTATATATATGCAAACACCATGCAAAATGGCTGTCGCAATAAGCATTTCTTCCTCGTAATAGTTGTGACGATCGTGTATCTTCAGTGGGTGAACCAGTCATACTCTCAACGTGTCGTGTGACCTGGTCGGCAAACTCCCCTTCCTTGATTTGGCTGAACCTGAGACAAGATTGAGATTGATAATAGAGCTAAAAGTACGCCTGAATCTAGATGATTAATGACAGTTCATGTACTTTGGGGGAAAAACAATTCCTGGTCCAGATCGTTGAGACTGGGAGTGGACTTAGGTGGCAACACGGAGAATATTATGCACTATAGGACCTCGGAAGTATATAGGATCTTCAAGGATATTCACGGGTAAAAGTAAGCAAAAAAAAATATCAAACCATATAAACAATGTAGTGCATCATCATGAATGACAAAGGCCGGTTCCGGGGTGACAAGTCCAACCGCATTCGTTGGAATTTGCAGTTCCCCGGCTTTTTGTCCCAGTCCTATGTCTTACGTCATCCAATGAAAGCAATCTGGGCAGTTTGACTCTGAACACTGCAGAGCACAGACTATTCAAAAGGAAATTTATCCAAGAAGAACCAAAAAAACAAAAGTGTCCTAAACAAAACTTGTCAAGTTGACCGTACTCCAACGGGGACCCCCGTTTCTCTTAGTCTTCAAAACTTCCCCGCTCGAACAATGTCATCTCTGGCTTAGCTCTATCCACCATGACCTCGGACACTCTGCTGTGAGAGCCTGGTGCATCCCACTATCGGAATAACTCTAACGTGTCTTAGACATCGCCCAACCGAGGCTCTCATCCTTCCGACCAAGCGACGCTTCTTCCCGTTCAAGATCCCCAACTTGTTCGTTGATCAACCCGCTTATCTACCGTGCGCAACCTAACCTAAGAGAGCTCTGCTTTAGTCACACACAGCTTCGCAACTACATTAGTACTGCTGACCCCGATCGCATTTATGTCGTCGTCGAGAGAATCGTGTATTCAATACACATATCGGTACAAAAGCGCGAGAGTGTAGCGGTGATCCCATTTGAACCGCGCTGTCTGGTCGCTGGACACGGTTGGATAGTAGTGGGGGGCCCGGAAAATGGCGAATGTGCTTTCATTCGCATCGGTGATGGCGGAATGCAGGTCCATGGCGATGCGCCCTTCCAGACTGATGTAGATATTGCGCTGCCCCCCGATCTCGACCCACCGTCAGGCATGACTTCGGGCGATTTTAATGGTGAATATGCGTCAACCCGCTATCGAAGCAGCAGATCATCCCCCGAAGTAGAGCTCCACAGGTTTGGTGGGAGCATTGTCAATTCAGTGACCATCCATCGTTTCTATGGTGGCAGCGAGGACTTAGCGGATGAAGATATCGTGGTTCTGAGGTGGGCGCTGGTCGGAAAACTAGCTTGTGCTGATCATGCTAACTCATATGAATAGCAATAATGATCGGACAGTCACCGTGTATTCACTGACTCGCGCGAAAGTCTTGAAGGTCCTTCATCATCCGACTTGTATGAACTATGCGACAATTTCCCCGGATTCTAAACTGCTCACGGCAGTAGGGGATGAGAACCACGCCTACTTTTATGAAATCACTCGTGATTTGGAATCATCTGGGACAACTGAATCTGGAGAGAAGCTCACGGGGTGGGAATGGGAGCTTATCAATCGTCTGGAGATGAACATTGGTCTGCGCGCGGATGATGCGTGCTGCTTCACTGTCGCTTTCTCGCCATCCAGTCGCTTGTGCGCCATCGGATCCCAATCTGGAATTATCACAATCATCGACGTCGAGACCATCTACAAGAACTTTGGCGACTCCGAAGACGACTCCGCTGTTCTTTGTCAATTCCCGGCGTCAAGATCATGCGCCGAGGGCGGTGCCGTTCGTTGTTTGGCATTTTCGCCGGAGCCATGGGACCTTCTTGTATGGCTGGAGGGCCACGGCAGAGCCGGTGTGGCCGACGTTCGCCAACATTTTATGCGCAGGCAAATCCTCCATTTGGATTCTGATGATCCACAATTGGAGGAAGTGTACACGGACTTTTCGACAGAGAACCTTGAACGGCACCCGCTGGGAGATGATCTTCTGGAGACGCCACCACGAGTGAGACTCGACAACGAAGATTTTCCGATGGAACGGAACGGGGAGCAAACGGAGCGTTCGTCTCTGCGAGAGTCTTTGATTCAAGATCTTACCGAGAGAGAAAGGTTGATTATGGAGTTTTTGAACACAGCACGCTGGACATCGCGGCTGGAAGAAGGACTTACTGAACGACCAGAGCGCCCGGCTAGGGCAAACTTTCCACCTCAATTAGTGGATCGGCCGCAAAATCACGGTTCCACAGATGGTACCACTCGCACTCATCGTCCTACTTCGCCGCTGCATCGCTATGATTCTTCTGATGACTCCCGAGATAGCCATCTGGGCCGCACTGTATCCAATCCAAGACGCCAGGGCTCGGTGGTGGTATCTCAAGGGAGTCGACCTTCGGAAGCGCCGTCCTCACACCATGATCGCCAATCGGGCATCACGCTCAGTTATTCCACCTCACATTCAGAGCTTACACCCCTTAGGTCGGAAATTTCGGAAATTATATATCGGGGTGGTGCGGATCCTGAAGCGGCCAACAACGAAACTAGCTTTCCAACTGAAGCGACTGGACCTTCTAATCCAAGTCTAGACATGCAGGGCTTGAACCACCGATCCCAGCGATCAAGCTCCATTCCCCGACGCATCGAACGATCACAAACTGGAGCGGAAAGAAGATATGATACTTCACGCCTCACCACATATGAGATTCGTGCCAATGTCGCTGCTGAGCGGCTTCGGCGTCAGCGCCAGATTGCCAATGAGGTACACAACCGCTCATTTGAAAGGGAACAACGGCATCGCCAACAGCTTCTTGGGTTTGAGCAGACACATTCTCCCCGCTGGATCAGAAACATAATCAACGACCTCCCCGATCGAAATTCAATCAATGGCTGCGGCGCCGAGGAGCCAGGTTCTACTGCTGGAGTCGGCTGGGGCGCTGATGGGCGCACATTGTGAGTGTATAATGCATCAACTTTGCGGAATTAAACTAACTTTTGCAGGTACATCGCCACACTGGAGGGAATCTTTGAATTCCCACTGAACATTCACGATCGAAAAACATTCCCTATTTTCTCTTGCCGTTAAATTCCTGTGCCCGGCGTTACAGGGAACTCTCTATCTATCGTCGCCGGGTCTCATTACTTTTTCATTTTTTTTTTTTTTTCATTATTTACTTTTCTATTTCTTTCGTCATTTTCATTTTTTTGTTTCTGACCATGCAGATTCTACAAAGGTCCGAAATCTCTCTGAACAATGGATCTACTGCTAAACAAGGGTGGTCTACAGTCTTCACTTTGCAAAGGGGGACTCGCTGCCCTTCCTTGTTCGTGGCCGGTCGTATCGTGCTAACAAAGTCTATCCTTTTTCTCATATGGAATCGTTCTCGCTCTACATACCCTTCTGGCGCTTAGGGGCGTACATTATCTTATCTCCATCCCATTTGTCATTTGCAAGCTACATCCACAATTTTTTGTATGACTGATTGAAGTACAAAAAGTTCATTTATATATTTACTTTTTGCCAATACAATCTTGTCCAAATTAAAAAGAAAATTTCAAAAACAAGCAAAGAAAAATAACTATAACTTGCATATATCGTTGTCGTAGCATGCCGCGTTCGATGCCATGCTTGTTCCGCTCAGAAGTAGATGTATAACAGCGTATTTCAGATCGATTTTATTAGCTACATTGTAGATATTAGAAAGTTCTATTGCAAAATGTGCTCATATCTATATCTACCTAGGTAGATTGCGCAACGCGCAATGTTTCCTTTCCTCTATTTTTCCCAGCAGTGAATTGCTTCACATAATACCATTTTCAATATACCCATGCGACAGTTTCCAAGCCCCTGGACTTTAGGGATAACAAGGTAAAAGGTTACAGGGGATACATAAACTTCAAATTTTCCCGATCAGTCTTATCAAGATCACGATCACCAATGTGGACGATCTGGCCGCCAGTATCAATCACTTCATCTTTGTCAGAATCCGTATCGGATTCAGCGAGAAGTCGCTCTCGGCGTCTGTTTTCCCGTTGTAGGTAAAATCGAATGAGAATGCACATCGCAGGTGAGATCAACCAGAATGCAGTCATGAAGGCCCAGGGTAAGACATAACGAGGTTTGTATTTTGATTGCCAGAATCTATATCTCATGTCAGTACTGTGTTCCTTAGAAAGCGTCTTGAGGTTAGACTAACTCGGGGGATATCATGTTTGCAACAGAAGCAGCGACAATACAAGAAGTCATTAGGCAGAGCTTCTTTGTGTGCCCGGTTGTTGTCGTTCCAGCCCAACTGAGACCGAGAAGGTAAGATGGCTTGAATGTAGATATTTGGGTACCAACTACCAGGGCCACTTTGTTTGACCATGGAGATGCCAGCTGTGAAAGAATCAATAAGACAATTAAACAGACTAAAGACGCCAAAGATGCATTCACTTACCTCAATGATGCCGCCAACAAAGCAAGGAATATAGGATATAGCACACGTATACCCTGTACCGAGCCGTGTACTATAAAGCAGGAGCGCGGATCCGATAATCAAAATGAATCCCCAAATTGGCTTTATAATATTGAATAAGGCACTCTCGGCTGGAGTGAAGCCAAACCCGACGACGATAAGCGGGAGCTGTTGGGATGTGTTGTTAGGGAGCTCATTGAAGAACATGTGCAAGCTGAGAAGAACATTATTAGTTAATATGACAGAAAGATAAGCGGGAAAGTGTCTCACATGAATAGCCAACTCTTAAAGTCAGTAAAAGATTCCCGCACCTGCGACCACTTGAATGTCGAATTTGTGACTCCAGCGTGAGTCTCGCGAATGAGTTGGATCGTGTGGACCTTCTCTTCGGTGGAAAGCCATTTAGCATCGAGTGGCGAGTTTGGCAAAAATATCACGAGAGGAATGAAGATGGCGAAGGTCAAAACAGCACAGATTATATGAAGCCATTTCCATGAGTTGATACTCCCAGCCAGGACTCCCGCATTGTCATCAACGATGAGTTTGTAGGCAATCATTGTCAACATCACATTTGCCATGCTTCCGAATGCCCACCATAGGAGCTGCACCCATGGACTCTTCTTCGGAGGGAAAAACGCTTGATGAAGCACGGCGGTTGAGGGAACAATCTGGGACTCGGTCTGCAAAGGTTAGCTCATGAATCAATAAAGCTCGAGAGGATGTACTAACCATTCCAAGTAGAAACCGCACAGCCATCATCTGTTTACCGGTTTTGACTGCAGGGTGGACTCCAAGTAACAAGGCCCAGAGGAACAATGACCCCGTAATAAAGTACTTGTGTCCAACACGTTGCGATATCCAAGCACCTGGCCAAAGAGCGACAAGGTATCCTGCATAGAATAGGACAAATAGATCGTTGTACTCGTTTTTGGACATCTGGACATCTTTGAAGATGCCCATAGTGCTAGCCTGGGACAGGGTCGACTTGTCAAGGTGAATAAGGAAGGAGATCCACCATGTTTGGCTCAGTAGACACCAGAAGTTCTTGCGGACCAGTCTTCCCTCGGCCTCTGCAGTCAAAGGCCGAACCTTGTCCTTGTTTGTGTTGTAGAAATACGTTGTGTCATCGGTGTCGCGTACGTCTACCACATGAGGATCGTGGGGAGGTTCACTGCCAGACGACGTGGCTTGGACATCGGCCTCTCTCTTTTCGCTAGGGGGAACCCTACTCGAATCCGAGACAGTCGCACCTTGCTCGGGCAACATGTTCAGTCTTGATATTCCTTAATAGAATAGAATAGAATGTATCATGGTGATCAAGAGCCTTGTCCCGTCATTTTATACAACGATGGCATTTCTTGCCTTCGAGGTCGGAGAAAGCCGATGTAAGCCTTGGCTTTCCTCAAGGTTCCCAGCAGCTTTTTTTTCTTTTTTTTCGATTTTGTCTCGCCTATTGCGGCTGAGATCAGTTGGCCTTGAAGCATTCGCCATAGCCTTTTTCGCCCCTGCTGTTGCTAATGGTCCGGCCATTAGGACCTTGAGCGCCAGGGAGTAACCTGCCAAGACACAGGTGTTCCGTTGCCCCCTCTTGGCATGCTCTGCCAAGATGACTTGGTTGCACTGGGGGACCTTGGGAGTTCATGGTTGTTTGAGCTTGTCGTGCTTGTTTGGCTAGATTGGGTCCATGCGGTATCTACGATCAAGGACACGGTTTCCAGGATCGACGATCCCAATCTCCGTATGAGTTCTCGTATTGGGGTCCCGAACAATAACGAATGGGGCTCCTGTTGTGGAAATCCTTGCACTTACCGGGGGCTTTAGTGTTGAGAGGGCATTGGATACAATAGGGCATCCTGAAGTTATTAAAAGCTGTTCCCGCGCCTTGCGAAATTGTATGCTGCACTTCGTTACTGATTGCAAGCTATGAGACTCTCCCTTCTGGAACTGTGCAAACTAGGATCTAGAAAAATGAGAAAAGAAAACTATATCTGTTCCGAAGGTGATAGCATAACTAGTAACTCTAGTCTCTCCCTGGTCCTGAACACAATATATGTATTGCAAATTCTTCGAGCATCAGGTAGCGATGTTAGATCTCCTCCTGGGAAGTACTCTATTGATATCAAAAAAATCGATTAATTGGGTGTCTGTGAACAAACGGAGAAGATTTAGCGATGCGAAATATCGCGTGGTCCACCGGGGCCCTCCTCGAGGCCATTCCTTCGGGCTACATCCGGGCGCCAACGCCAGAACTCGCGCATGAAAGATGAGCTTTGATCGCCGTTCTCGTAAATATCTGCCGCATGCTGTTTTTGAAAATGTCAATAACTGTCTCGTCATACGGAGTATGAATTCATGGATCCCACCTCTCCTAGAATTGGCAAGAACTTTGCACCGTGACCGCTACCTCCAGTGCAAACAAAAACAGATCTTTCAGCATAGTCCGGTACATGATCAATCTATTGTTCTGGTGAGTTCATATGTTTTGTGGAATTTTCTGTCCTTGCTCACCACAAATGAATTGTCCAACGAGTCAGTGTACCAGCAAAGCTTTGTAGAGAAGAACGGAGTGCCGTCAAATTCAGGTAGGAAGATAGAGACAAACTGCTTGATAGAATAGATTGCCGGCTCCGGTATTACGGAGCATTCCTCTAGCGGGAGAGGGATAGACCATTGGCCATCCTGGGTGAATGGGGTGTCTTGCGGCGCTGGCTTGAAGTTGGTCCACTAAAAACATACCGGTTAGAATCAATGGGCAACACAAATACTGTAGGCCTTAAATACCTTGATCCCACGGTACCCAATCTTTACTAGACCTTCAGGGGTTCTTGGTAGAGCGTAAATACTTCCAGTATCCTTACCAGAAGCGTCTCGAGGCACACTTTTCCAAGTCATAACGGGAAACCGTTCGGGAGAGTACTTGTTCCACAATTCGGTATCGCTTTTCTCGATCTTGAAAGTAGCCAGGCTACCAGCGGATGATTCGAGATGGTAGCTCAAGTTAGGAAGGATCTGCGTTGAGAACGATCCAGCTTCCTCAAAATTAGCCAACGAATAAGAGAGATGGAGTTAGGACTAACCAGCGACAATAACAGAATCAGCATGATAAATAACACCACTTTCTGTCTTCAACCCCGTAATCTTTTCTTTGCCTGGTTCAAGGCTACTAGCGGTCTTGGTCAATGAAGTTACAGCGCCCTGTGGCCCAAAATGGAACTTGACACCCTTATCAGCAGCCACTTTTTGGTAATGAGCACAGGCATTGCTGCATCGTATGAATCCAGCAGTAGAGTCCAAGACTGCTTCATAGCTATTCCCAGAAGAATTCGGAATCTCGAAGTTAAGGATCTTGTCCTTCCATCCCAACTTGTCCGCTCGATCGCAGTCTGCGGGGTCACTTTTCACAAACTGGGTGTCTCGTAGGCCATCGCGCTGCATATTCACCAGAGTCTCCTTTTCTAGAGTGGCCAAATGATCTGATGGCTGTACACGGAGCATTCCACTATTGACGAAGAGCCTGGAACCGTGCTTTTCATCTTCTGAAACCCACGCCTTGCGGCTCTCAAAGGCGAGGCGCTGGTAATGAAGTTCGTTGCCATAAGATGCGCGAAACTATGATAATTTATCAGCAATAATGTTTGCACTGTCCCTGGTTCCTTCTCACAATCTTGTTATGGTCAACAGACGCCGCCTGGACATCGTCTGCTGCGGGGGCATATCCATTCGCATCGTATTGGCTTCGGTCGAACACGGTCACTTCGTAGTCTGCAATCCGAGTCAGATATTATAATGAGATATCTTGGTAGAAACACTTCTATTACCTCTGTCCTTCAGGGCAATGGCTATTGAGAGACCAAAAATGCCAGCTGCGAACCTCGTCAGTTGCGTACAGACAACGCTGACTGCCTGCTCTCCTACCTCCAATCACTGCGACTGACTTGCGCTCCGACATTTTTCTGGTTTAAATTCTCTGCCCAAAAAGACTTGAAAAATACTGAGGGGATATCAATCGGATCAACAAGGCCCACAAGGTCCCTACTGTCCATCTCCACCTGGAATCGCGAGTTTAGCCCGGGAAAATTACAGCATATATTACCACTAGGCCACACTAAAAACTAGCCTAGAGGGGACTATGACTGTTCCGTTTCTTGTTTGACACCCTCCAATCACACTAGATTCGGGTATCAGATCTCATCTTTTTACGACCGTCCTCGGTACAGCTTACACTTTTCACTGTATCCATGGATATCGTACATATTAGAGTCTGGTCCGTGCTATTGTTTATTATCTATCCTTTTGGGAGGTTAACACCGAGAAGATTTCATTTTATTAAAAAAACCATCCAGAAAGTACACCCAACGAGAAAATCCAAGTGGTCTTATATATAACGTCCCCTATATCATCTTGGGCTAGATAAATCAGATTATTAAATTCTTGGGTCACATACTACTCTTTCATACTATGTAACTCAAAATCACATATGTAGCCCTAAATGCGTCCTGTTTGTAGGTAGGTACCGCCCCACACCTGGGCATCGACGTCATGGATACTGCCGCTACATACCGCCTCGAGTGTCTTTCAGCGAAATTGACCAAAGTAATGTGTTGCTAAATCTTGCCCGGAATCACTTCGAAACAATTCGTCAGGCTCACCCGCAGAATCAATTCTATCTGTTCAATTTGTTCTTTCTACGTCAAAGAACAATTTGAGCCCTGGTTTGCGCCAGAACTTAATCCATACACTCGGTGTGGGGTTCGGCTACTGCCGAGTCAAACATCGACATTATTTACTCACCGGTTGACTACCTGACACATTCCTTGACACATTCCTTGACACCATGGCCGACTCCCTCGATTCCACAATGAAGAAGTTAGATCTAGAAGGCAGACACTTCGACCCCGCGAGCTTCGATGCTCGTCTTGCAGACGAAGAGAATGGCAAGATCGAGAACTTCCAAGCTCGGAAGCAAGCTCCTCAGAGTGCCCAAGAGTTGCTAACTGAGCTTGAAAATGAGTTTCTGACCCCATCAGACCAATTCAGCAGTACATGGTTGAATTCTCTCCAAAGGTAAGTATCTTGTTTTCTCCCATTTGCGGGGCAGCTCTTAACGGCTTTGGCAGACGATGGGACGTTCCGACAGATTACGCAGACCTTTTTGAGCTCGCCCCAACACAAACACGGACGGTGACTCGGTTCACACGAGAGGGACTTGAAGGACGCGTTACTGGATATCAAGAAGTCACGGTTCCTGCTGCAAGCGCAACAGCCAAGAATTCCACCTCGCTTCTCCGCCGACCTGCTGGCCGCGCCGAATTTGTCAGAGGTGCTGCAGGTTTCTTCCCGTTCGCTCCCGGTGGCTTGGATGCTATCGAGGCCTTGGCAGCAATGGAGGCCGATGCTCACGTCACAGAACAATCGAGCAACGGGAAACAATCTGGGCTGGATCGCATCATCAACTTTGGCACTGAGGGAGGTCTTCTGACAACACCCCCTGGCTTCGATAGCGGTATCGATTTCGATGAAGCCAAATCCAAAGATGCCACCGAAGGTGCCCAAGAAGTCGAAACCGCCCTTCTTCAAGAGGAAAGCGACCTGAAAGTGGATCAACCCGAGGAAACTGCGGATGTGGATACAGGAGCAACGGCCGAGCTTGATGATGTCAGTGACGAAGAAGATGAAGAGGACATTGACGCTTTGCTACCGGTTGAATTCCCGGCATTGGAGCCGCGTAGCCAGTTGCTTGCAGGCGTTCACAAGCAAAAAGGCAGGGAATGGGCCCACGTCGTCGACATCAACAAGGATATTCCGAACTTCAATGAGTTGGTTCCAGATATGGCCAGAGAGTGGCCATTCGAGCTCGACACTTTCCAGAAGGAGGCTGTTTACCACCTTGAGAATGGCGATTCGGTGTTTGTTGCGGCTCATACCTCGGCAGGCAAGACAGTTGTGGCTGAATATGCAATCGCCTTGGCTGCTAAACACATGACCAAAGCGATCTATACGTCTCCCATCAAAGCGCTGAGCAACCAGAAATATCGTGATTTCAGAACCGAATTCGACGATGTCGGTATTTTGACTGGTGATGTTCAAATCAACCCGGAAGCCAGCTGTCTCATCATGACCACTGAGATCTTGCGAAGTATGCTGTACCGAGGCGCTGATCTCATTCGCGACGTTGAATTCGTCATTTTTGACGAGGTGCATTATGTGAACGACCTCGAACGAGGAGTGGTATGGGAAGAAGTCATCATTATGCTTCCAGAGCATGTCACATTGATTCTTCTCTCTGCCACTGTGCCCAATACCCGAGAGTTTGCATCCTGGGTGGGCCGTACTAAGAAGAAGGACATTTATGTCATTTCAACTCATAAGCGACCTGTCCCGCTGGAGCACTATCTCTGGGCCGGGAAGAGCAAGCACAAGATCGTAGACTCAAACAAAAGATTCCTTGAGAGTGGCTGGAAGGAAGCGGATGATATTCTGTCCGGCAAAGATAAGGCCAAAGCCAAGAAAGAGGCTGAAGCTCAGGCGCAGGCCGCGCAAGCTAAAGCACCAGCCCCTCAGGGCCGGGGACGCGGTCAGCCAGTGAATACCAGAGGTGGTCGCGGTGGCCCACAGCGTGGAGGCCCGCAACGAGGCCGGGGACAGAGCGGCGGACAGTACTCCAACCGAGGAACGGGCAACATCGCTCGCACAGGCCGTGGTGGTGGTCGTACAAGTGCAGCCCAAGACAAAAACACCTGGGTGCATCTTATTTCGCATCTTCGCAAAGAAGACTTGCTGCCGGGATGTGTCTTCGTCTTCTCTAAGAAGCGATGCGAGGAGAACGCGGATTCACTGTCAAATCAGGACTTCAGTAATGCCAACGAGAAGAGTTTGACACACATGTTCATTGAGAAGTCACTCACCAGATTGAAGCCTGAGGACCGCACGCTACCGCAAATCCTTCGCCTTCGTGAACTACTAAGCAGAGGCATTGCTGTACACCATGGCGGTCTCCTCCCCATCATGAAGGAAGTTGTTGAGATTCTCTTCGCTAGGTCGCTCGTCAAGGTTCTGTTCGCCACAGAAACCTTCGCGATGGGTCTGAATCTTCCCACCCGAACTGTGGTATTCTCCGGGTTCCGTAAGCACGACGGGAAAAGCTTCCGTGATCTGCTGCCCGGCGAATATACGCAAATGGCGGGACGTGCTGGTCGTAGAGGCCTTGACACGGTGGGGTATGTTATCGTGACAAACAGCGGAAAGGACGAGGCCCCATCTGCTGCGTCGCTGAAACAGATGATTCTTGGAGACCCGACAAAGCTCAGGTCTCAATTCCGTCTCACATACAACATGATACTGAATCTATTGCGTGTGGAAGCCCTGAAGATTGAGGAAATGATTAAGCGGAGTTTCAGTGAAAACGCGACACAAGCTCTCTTACCGGAACACGAAAAGCAAGTCCAGGTATCTGAGGCCAGTCTTGCGAAAATCAAACGGGCACCATGTGAGATCTGTGACCTGGATCTGTTGGCCTGCCATAACGCCGCTATGGAGTACCGAAAGCTTACAGCTGAGTTCCACGCCGAATTGCTATCGTCGCCTGTCGGCAAACGTCTTTTCACAACGAAGAGGTTGGTTGTGTACCGCAAAGTGAGTTCACATGCTGTAATAGTACGTGTTTGGTAAAAACGCTGACATGAAAGATAGGACGGGCTGCGTACTGCTGGTGTTATTACGCGCGACGGTGTCTCCCCCGGAGTCGTCGGGGCCGTACCCTGTATTCAAGTGCTTGAGATCGGAACCTTGAGTAGCAAGCGGCACCCCACTGACATTCTTCCATTCTTGCCTCTGTTCCGGCCCTACTTCCAATCACTCCCCAATCGTGTCGATGACATGAGCCTTCGAGTATGCAAGATCCCGTTATCCGATCTCGAGTGCGTTACAAACACGCAGGTTAAGATCACAAAACCAATGTGGTATCTCAACATTAAGAAAGGTAAGAGCATATTTGCTTCTTTTTGCATATATAGTTACTCAAAAGTCTAATTCGGAAGCAGAGTCCATCAAGTGGGCAGAAAGGGAACTGTGCCAGTTCACCAACTCTTGGATCGATACGGCCTGGGACGAAATCGACTGGCAACGTATCAAAGAGATGGAAATCCGCGATATCCTCGACAAACGACAAGCTCAGGCAGAGATTGCCCAGTCATGCAGCTGTCTACAATGCCCTGATTTTGTGAACCACGTGAGTGTTTTATTTCTACTCGTCTGAACCCTGTACTAATGTCGGATAGTTCGAGATGCAACACGATGAGTGGCAAGTTAAAGAGAACATCTCGGAGCTGAAGCAACTGATGTCTGACCAAAACCTTCAACTACTTCCGGATTATGAGCAGCGCATTCACGTGCTGAGGGAGCTCGGATTTGTTGACGAACAATCTCGTGTACAATTGAAGGGCAAGGTGGCATGCGAGATTCACTCCGCCGACGAGCTGGTACTGACCGAATTGGTTCTGGAGAACGTTCTTGCTGAATACGAACCAGAGGAGATTGTTGCACTGCTCTCTGCGTTTGTGTTCCAGGAGAAGACAGACAGCACCCCCACCCTCACTCCCCGTCTGGAGAAGGGTATGAAGGAGATCGTTCGTATCGCCGAGAGGGTGAATGATTTCCAGATCCTGCACCAGGTCATTCAGTCCAGTGAAGATTCCAACGACTTCGCCAGCAAGCCACGCTTTGGTCTCGCCGAAGTTGTTTATGAGTGGGCCAAGGGAATGTCTTTCAATCGCATCACAGACCTCACGGACGTGATGGAGGGTACTATTGTTCGGGTGATCACCCGACTGGACGAGACTTGTCGCGAAGTGAAGAATGCGGCCAAATTGGTCGGCGACCCAACACTTTACACTAAGATGCAGAAAGCTCAGGAGTTGATCAAGCGCGATGTCATCTTCGCGGCCTCTCTCT